GTTCTACTTATTTATATTCTGATTTCGCTATAACGCTTAGATCATTTGTATTGGAATCTTCTGTCCATATTATGACACGTTTGTAAGCTCTAGACGTTTTATTACAATTACAAGAAATTTTTATTGTCTTAGCTTCGGTATATTTGTTCCGCCCCTTCCGCAGATTACATTATTTTTTTTTATAAATATTTTTTTTCTACTTACCTTTTACGAAATTGAGATAACAAGTAAATTAGCACTTTACCTGTCTTGTTGCTTTGCTTTATGATTGTTGTAGACGTCGGCAATTTTCGTTAGCAACAAACAGTTCGAGCTGACGTCAAATAAGTATTAGATAGTACAAACAAAGTCTACACAATTCTGCATAGATTAGAATCCCAATGGAATTAATATATGAGCACGCTAAGTACAATTTTATTTTATTAACATAAAATTGTTGCTTAATATTCAGAAATGAATATTCAAATACATTCCTCATATGGATTGCATTATATATATATAAATATATATTATATATATATAAATATATATATATATATATAAATATATTTATATATTATATATATATATGTAAAATGCAATATTATCTTTAAAGGTTAAAACAAATTGTCTAAGAAATCAGGAAAAAATAATGAAATGCTCAATACATTTTAAATCAGAAGTAATCAAATTTTTTCCGGACCTTAAAATTAGACTTACAATTTGTGAAGAAAATTATTTTTAAATTTGCAAAATTGATGGCTACACATATTTAATTATTTAGGTTTTATATTTTAATAATTTTGCGAGTCCAAACTAAGTTTTAAGCATTTAAAATAAGCTCTGACTGCCCACTGTTTGGTTATAAAATGAGCAACGTGCGAGTCGAAGTATAAATCCCAAACAAACAACGTTTATGGGAAAAACGCCGATGGAAAGTTTTTTTTCGGTTGTTATCTTTTGTAATTTTTGCCCAAAGCTTAAATCGTTTTTGTTAGCAGCAAAATAAATTTTACTTGTTTGTTATGTCTGCGTTACACGGCAGCTGAGCTGAGAAGGTAACTCAATAGTCAGAAATGGGCCACTGATGACAGGCGGTGCCTTGGAAATACGTATACGCAACGTGAGACGAACAGTTTTAAATTGCAAATGCTAACTTCTTGTATTTGCTTAATATGTGCTAAACATTTTTTATATGAACATGCATTTCTTGTGTTTACATTGCGTATAGTTAATGTGCTAATTTCAATACTAAGGCTTATACTAGAGAACAGTTAAAACTTAGCTAAGTACTTCCTCGTATCACATAAACTGCCGCTTAAACTAATGAATGTCGAGTTATCACATGCTTACACATTAAAAGGCTAATAAATTATGGCATTTAAACAAAATAAAGCACATGTGCAATTTAAAACGCTTTTCTTGACTTGCGTGCTCTCAGAACATAAGCAGGAAAAGCAGATGTTCGGCTACTCTACGTATGTGTGTATCTGTGTTTGAGTGTGAGTGTGTGTGTAAATACCATATCTTAAACATTCCTCCCATTGTTGATGTTGCTGTTGCGATACAAAAGCTCCGGCAGCGAGTCAGCCCCGCAAGATGTACGCCAAATAAACTTCAATTTGACAACGCCTTCAAAATCAACTTAAGCACCAAGAGTTTCTTGAACTTGTGTTTGTTTGTTGTTTGTTTTTGCTCTCTTCTGTGTTTTTTTTACTGCGTTGACAATATCAATTTAATATGGGCTCGGGGCGATGCTGGCCTGGCTGTCAGTCGCCTTCGTGTGTGGCTGTTCCTGCCTTGCGAAAGTAATTGGCCAGAAAAACTCCAACAATTTGTGCGGCCAATTTCCCGTGGCGTTTCTTGAAAGTCAACGAGTTGAAGGTTTTTTGTTTCTTAGGTGAGCCTAACTTGTGACTGCCGGCATGTCGTGTCCAACAATTATTTGACTAATTTATGCGCACGCTGTGGCAGTTCTCATTATGGCCATTGATTGACATGACTTCCAGTCCCGGCGGCTGTAAGAGTCAGCTACAGGTGTAGGCCTACGCGTGTTTCACATTGTTTTTAAAATACCAGACATGCACACCCCTTAGGTGTTTGTTCCTAGCATGAGTAATATCTATGTAAGACTGCGCATGAGTCAGAGTTTTGTTTTTTTTTTATGCCAGCAGCGGCACGTGTTGCTCGCTTAGTGTCCAGTTCGACGCAGGCTAGAATCACCAGTCCACTTTGTGAGTGGAATACGCAAGGGGGTTTTCTCTCGTCCGACCTTTTTTTTTGTACCCTGAACACATTGAAAATGGGTAAAAAGGGTATATTGTATTTGTGCAAAATGCAAATGTATGTAAAAGGCAGAAGGAAGCATCTCTGACCCCAAAAAGTATTTATATTTTTGATCAGCATCAATAGCCGAGTTGATCTAGCTATGTCCGTCTGTCTGTCCGTCCGTCCGTCCGTCAATATGTATAAACGCAAGGATATCAGAACCTATAAGAGCTAGAGACTTGAAATGATTAGATGTAGGTGCTCCTAGTGCCTGCGCAAATCGATTTTGTTTCCGATAATCGATAACTTACTTCGTTTCCAAGCAATCGATAAAAATCGATATCGACATCCTGTTCATTGAGAAAATTGGGTAAATAATAAGAGCTAGAGTCACCAAACTTGATATGTTGCTTCTAGAATATTATATATATGTCAAATATCTATCATTTTATACCTATCGCCACCTCCCCGCTAACACCGCAGAGCTATAAATCAAGTTAATAACCCAACTAATATTGCCAACCAATCTAAGCCAAAATTGTAATGAAATTGACTTTTTGAGAATACACAAATATTGTATGGTTCAATAAGATATACTGTAGAAAATTTCATAAAGATCGGTTAAAAAAAACCAAAGTTATGTGTTACTGCGCAATGCGATGGGACACCTAGCGAATACTTCAAGAATTTCTGTGTGCATGTACACACACACACATTCATGCGCGTCTGCTTCACATTCTAACAAGATGGTAATTGCGACTTTTTTCTTAGTTTCTTTCTCATAGGAACTTAATAATTGGTGTGCCTGATGAGTAGAGGCATAGCGAGTGGTGCGGTCTGTCGCGAGTTCGAGCCCTGCCAAGGGAATTTTTTTTTAAATTTATTTGGTGTTGGAATAAGAGGTATTCCGTAGTCGGGAGCTCTCGACTAGGACCTCCTACTTGTTTATTTCTATATTTAAAAGTGATAGTTGGACAATGGAGACTGTTGACTATGGCATTACGAAGGAAAGTTAACAACAACATTCAACTGCCTTTTCACAGTCTTATGCCTTACACTGGATGCTCACAGGAAGTTCGTAAATAAAAATATACGAAACCACATGAAACCACTTTTGAGCTTGCTTTGAGATATAAATCGTCAATGCTTAAATATTTAGCATAGTTACTTTGGATAAATATATTTAACTAAATTTAAATTGACATTCATATTTTACCATTTGACATAGATACCTGGGCAAAAATGAATTTTTTGGGAATCTAACATAATGAGACTCTATTAGCTTTCAATGATTTTTTATACATTTAATAAGATTTATAAAATTTGTGTCGTAAGTGTATTAAGAGATCGATTAAGGCTTCACTTTAGCTGCTGTCTATATTTTACATTCCCGGCTTTTTTCTTTAGGGCTTCTGCGAATATGACTCAGTTTAGCCCAAAATCTCATCCAGTTTGCCCGACACCCTATCCCCCCGTCTCAACACACATGAGGGGATACAGAAAATGGCGCGTGCACGTCAAATATGCTACTGGCGTTATTCGTTGGGCTTGGCATACGTTACGCTTCATGGTTTTTGTTACATTTTATGCGTAGCTGTGGCTAAGACGTTGGCTTAGACGTGGGCCTACGGGCTTGAAAATATTTCGTATTCTGCCGGATGCTGAAGGGCAAAATACATAAATACTAAATTGTAATTTCAGCTATGCATATTGACATATCGACAACAATTCTGTTGGCATTGTGAAAGCCGCTTATTTGACGTGATGCGACGCCATGTAACGCCCACGCCCCAAAACGCCCCACAAGCACTTTCCAAGGAAAATAATTTTTGGTGGCCGCAATGCCGGATACTTTCCAAATGTAATTACACTCAAGAGATACACGTGCCGGCAATAAAATCTTGCTGCTGCTCTTGTTGTTTGTGGGCCTCTTCAATTTAAATTTGTATGTCTTGGGCTCATCTGTCTGCCAGCACAACAATGCCAACCACAACAACAGGAACAACACTCAAAAGCGCCAGAAATGCTATATATATATTGATAGGCAGCAAGCGAATCTCTCGCGCTTTTAAATTATGTGTATATATGCCCCGGTTCCTTCATTATTGGGCTGGCTTATTTAACTATGCTCAGATTTGGGGCATGGCTAATGAGTTTCAGCCGCTTTGGGACAACCAGATAATTTATTATTGTTCTAGCTGTAGTTGTTATGGCTACAAATGATGGCTTTAGCTGGTTTCAGTTTCAGTTTTTGAAGTCTGCGGGCTGAATGGCTAATGTACTACAACTTTCTGCTTTCTGTGATGCTTAGCTTAGCTGATCAAGTTATTTTTTTTTTTTATAAAAAAGATGCTCTTGCTTAACATATTGTGTGCATATTGAGTCTGTTTAATATTTCTACTCAACTATCCAAACTTTATTTGCAACAATAATAAATGCGCTTCATCAAAGAAAACATTGAAATGACATTAAAATATAACTTAGCACTTCAGACATCACTTAATTTGTGGCACGTGTTAAATATGATTGAACTTTTGGCTACTTCCACAATATCTTTGTTAAGCTTAATGAACATTCGCAAAGTACTCATACAAATAACTGTTGCAAAAGGTTGATTGAACCCGTGGCCGTATTATTGAATTTTTTGTTGTGGTTTATTTATTTATTACCTGGACCTGACACTTGGGCAACACGCTAATCAATCAATTTATCAATTTGATGCCCAATTAATTTTGCATTTTGATTGCTTGCAGTTTCAATGGCGCCCACCATCTGTTTCTCTGAGAAGACAGTGCTCGGAGTGGAGTTGAGGAATGGGCGACGGCTTCGAAAAATGGGCGTGGCACTTGCCAAAGCTAAAGCGGCTGGAGTCGCACAAAACAGCGCTGTGTTGCGATATGGTGAGTAAAACTGGTGACTGTCCCACCTAACGTATACGTAACATGAACAGAACAGACCTTTGCTTCTGGACATGCGTTGTCATTGCTGTTATTTTTGTTAGTGTGGTTTGTTGTTTGATTTTTCTTATGTCAACAGGTGGTTGCTGGCACTCACGTTCCTGGAATTAATTAATTTATGTAAGCTTGTTCAAGCTACACTGTTGTGCATCTTCAATTGCAACTGATCGTTATCGTCAATATTTATGCTGGACCACGTGTCAGAATGTTGCGTACACTTCACGTGTATCCCCTTGTTTTGTGTTTTATGTTGCCGCTGTTTTTGTTTTACACGCAACTTAGTTGTGGTAACAATTTGCGTCAGCAATGTGTGCGCTCTTCATGCCAGGGTGCCAGCCGCCCTTTTGAATATATACATGCACGACACATTTATATAAGAGTTCTAAGCCACATGACTAGATAGGAAATGCATAACGATTGTCGTTAACTGCAAGGAAATTTCCAGGGGTTGCACGTAAGCTACCTGCGTTATGTTGATGCTAACAGCTTGACTGTTAGTAAGGGATGTATACAGTTTAAGAAGCTGGGGGCGCCTCTCAATAAGCTGCGTCATAGTGTATCGATGTCAAGTACGTTCCACGTGCCTCCAGCTGCTATTGCTGCTGTGGCTGTCTCCTGTAGCCTGCCAGATGGTTATGTTAACCATTTGCGTCAGAAATTCCAGCATTTTCCTGCTTTTCTTGTCATGCTGTCACGCCCTCTTTGAGTGGTTATGCACAGCTCATTTATATAAGCGGTGTATGGTAACATGTCGAGATAGGATAGAAATAGCGGCTGACGTTGACTGGAACAGCGGGAGATTTCTTAAAATATCAAAGTCTTGGGCATCAGTCCGTTGCGATGAGTTGATGTTAAAAACTGACTACTAGTGCAGCACGCACTCTAATGAACAATAACATAGGGTTAAATAGATATCATATTTAATGAAAATTATGAAAACCGGAAGAGATGAGAATGAAAAAAAAAGAAAGAGACACTGAGATGAGGCTTGAGTGTGTTCAAAGATTGATACAGAGAGATCGACAAAGAGAGAGAGAGAGAAATAAATAGATAAAGAGACACAGAGAAAGAGAAAAATATAAAGGGAGAGAGAGAAAGAGAGATAGGGCGAGAGAGAAAGATGGAGAGAAAAAGAGAGATAGAGAAAGAGAGTCAGATATGTTCACAAATAGAAAAGAGAGAGGTTTCTCTTTTCTTCATCTATCTTTTTTACAAATTCAGGAAATTTCTCTCTCACGCTCACTCTTTATCGCTCTGTCATGTTTATATCGAGAAGGAGAGAGCGACTGTCAACACTACATAAATTTCGAAAGGGACAGTCCTTAATCAAGACATTAAAATCATTAAATACTTTTTTTGTGTCATGAAAATCGCATAGAAAGGGAGCAACGCGTTTTAGAAAAATATTTCATGCTTGTGATATTACTTCCACAACTTAAGAAATACATGGCCAAATGTACAGCTAACTATAATGAGTTATTTTATGATATATAACGCAGACTTAACTCGGACTCATATCCATCGATCATAGCTCAAGGCACGTTTATGTATTTGAACGTTAACAAGTTGTAATTTCATCATCCCAATGTCATTCATCAGAGTGTGACACTAAGTGACCAAAAGCTCTTATATTTCACGTATTGTAGAAATGGTAAATTTCTCTCTCACGCACGATCGGAAAAAAATTAAAACACTTTTTACCGAGGATGCGTTGATTCTGCGAAACTGTGAAAGCACACACCAAATCTTTGACTCCCATTTCCACCAAGGAGATGGATTTTCAAAAAAGTGCAAAATACCCCTCAACTGAATTTGAGCAAAGATCTTTGAAATTTAGGTTGAGGCCGATCGGATGGTAAAAAAAAGTTTGTAAGAATCGGTCAGTTCGACTGAGTGAGATACGCTTATACAAACATAAGTAAATGATAGAATAGCTTAATGTGTTAACTTCACAAAGATTTGCTTATATCTTACATTCTTAAGAAGCGTCCGACCTCCTTCTTTATTGGCTTGCTGCTTTTTCTCTAGTCATACTTAACTCAATACTTCTTCGCCTAATTATCGATTCGCTGTGAATGCAATGGGTTGAGATTGCCAGACGCTTACAAGTTTCATACAAACGTTTTTCGCGATTTTTGCATACTTGCCGAAACCCCGTCTTAAAGTGCACCTTCATTACATAAGGTAACTACAGGGAAAATTTCAGCTTCCTAGTTCTTACGGTTTGTGCGTAGAACACCAATCAGTCAGTCAGTCAGGACAAACAGTTTTATATATAGAGATTACACAGACTTAACTCGGACTAATATCCATCGATCATAGTTCAGGGCTCGTTAATGTATTTGAACGTCGAAAAATTGTTATTTCATCATCGCAATATCATTCATCAGAGTGTGAGACTAAATGACCAAAAGCTCTTGTATTTCACGTATTGGGAAAATGGTAAATGTGTAAGAAGCAACGCAAACATTACATTAATAGCTGAAAAGGCAGCGTCTTGAATGAGCACAACAGAGTCTTGCACAAATTTTGTATAAGCATTTATTTTCACAAGAAATTCATCGTACACACACGTTTATATACGTGTGAGTGTGTGTCGTAACCTCTATTTCGATGTCATTCGATGTGGCACGTTTTCTGTAGCCCTTTCATTGTCGTTATTGGTGTTGTTGTTGCTTATGCTGTTGCTGTTGCTGTTGTTGTTGTTGTTGTTGTTGCTGTTGTTGCAGTTGTTGCTACAACTGTGCTACTTTTGCTAGCTTATTTACAATTTTCCCACATTTGTTTGGTTGCTTTTAGCTTTTGCCGACTTGGCTTTTTATAGCCATGTATTTTGTTGTTGCTGTTGACTTTATTGGTGCCATATTCAGGGGAATGCATTCCAAATGATTTTCTTTGCATATCCTGTAGCCGAATCAATAAGCAAAAGGGTAATTCTAATTTGAGCATTTGTGTACGATTTGATCAGTAACAAAAGTACATTCTCTCTGTACATTCTCTCTTATCAACTTACGTATCTCAAAGAGGGTTATATTTGATATAACAAACTTATTTTTACTTTTCTTAATTATGATTGTGTCTGTTCAAATAATAGAACAAAATTAATATCACAGGGTATCTTCTAAACAGCCATGCTTACGAACCTTTGCTTGCTTTATTTATTTGTTTATTTTTTTGTGTGTATTTATTTTTGTTTTTGTTTTGTGTTTCCTGTTAATTTCCAGCAACACGTTAAAAAGTTGAATGCTAAATGGGTGTGACAAAGCCACGTGCTGGCGACTGTGAGCCTCTCCCCCGTTCTCCCCTTAGTCAATGACAACGTAACAACCTGGGTATCGACAGTGGGCTGCAAATAACACAGTAATATTTGCAAACAATATTAATTTGATTTTTGTTTTTTATATAAACTACTACCATTTTGTTTTAAATTTCTTTATTCATGAGAGTAATTTGTTTTTAGATCGCAATTTGTATAAATTTGCGACAATAAAAGTTAAGATATAAATATAGAAGAATATTTGAAAATATTTCTAAATTATTTCAAAAGTAACCTATGATAAACTAAAAAAAAATGTTTAAATTTTTGATGGACAAAGACACACATTTAAAGTAACAACTTTCTGAATTTCTAAAAAAATAACAATTTAAGAATATCAGAATATAAGATCGTTAAACAAAATGACTTTAAAATTACTTTATTTATTCGTAAACAATTCACCTATTTTATTTACCCTTAAATCAATTTTGTACTCAAAGTAGCTGCGTTTTGTGTCAGTGTGCACGGGTTCAACTTTTGGCCTGTTAACATTTATATGTGTAGACGCCGGTTGTGGCAATAAATGGCATGCATTTAGAAAGCAATTGAGGCAGACTTTGTTGGAAGTGCCTAATGCCATGGCTTGAACCCCGTTTGCTTTAATTAAGCATAAATGGTAACTAATTTGTTGCGAGTGGTTGGCACGTGGGAACGCGCCGTGTTGATGGTGATGATGGGGCCATGTCATAAGACCCACAGACCTCAAGACTGTAAGAACCCCCGACGTAAGCGCAGACCCATACGTCAACGCAGTGTGCGAGTAATGACAACGACAAATAGGTAGATAAATGTTCATTGGGGCTGTTTAGTCGGGTGAGGGCAAATGCCTCGTGGGGGACCTCGGCATGCCTCTTGCATAAGTCGATGACGAACACGGCCGCAATAAATCGTTGCAGAAAGATACGACAACTATGCAACTTGCGGGGGGTATGCGCCATCAACGACAATATTGTAGTCAACGCCACAACAATATTGCAAACTAAATATTTGCGCATTCAATTGTCAATTGCATCATTTTGAACAGGTTTAACTGCAACAGAGTGGCAGTCATAGGTCACAGCTGTCAGTTGGGGTTACAAGAAATAGATTTTGCGTGCGTATCGCTGGAATTCATATGAATGCTATTGTCGATTGATTTTTCCTGATATGCTTATTGCCATTTGCATATCAATAGAATTATATAATCTAATAAAAAAAAAACGAGAAAGAAGGGATATCTTCGGCACCCTGAAGATGTAATACCCTTGCAGACAGTATGTGCAGTATGTGTGAATAGTGCAGCTCGAAAATGCTAAGTTTGTTTTAATATGTTAAAAACAGAATAATTTATATTATATATTGGGCTGATGTTGATAAGATTTTTCATACATGACATGGCCTATCGTTTCTATGGCAGCTATATGTTATAATTACCCGATGTTGATAGGATTTTGCTTATATAAGAGGAGCATATTAAAACTAATAAATGTCGAGTTTGGTCAGAATATCTTAATAAAAAAATGTTTTTTATAAGAAACTCCTTTTCTGTTACTCATTTCGAAACAAAATTATCGTACCCTCTTCAAGGCTATAATAAATAAAACTTGTATAAGAACGTAACCTTTTGTGATAAAATTATTGTAATCAGAAACCAACTATTAGTTTAAGAGGAAGATATTGCTATTATTATTATTATTTTTAATCATGTTTTTATTATTTTATAATTATTATCGTTTTTATGACTTTTTGTATATTCAAAATAAAGCTTAATTAATTATAGCTATAAACATAATCATTTTCAGTTTTCACATATTTATTAATTTTATTGAAAGTCTAAATTAATAGTCTATAGCTTATGTACCTGCAAATGCTGGATTATATATTAATTGATAATTCTTAATCTTTTACTAAGATTTAATCGATGCCTAATTCGTTGTTCTATTTACGTTCCTCGATTGCTTTTCTAGCGCTTATATTAATACCGTTCTGAATGCGTCGCTTTTACACACATACACAAACACACACACACACCCAGAGAGACACGCTTAGAGCTGGTTCTTTGCCTGTTTTTCCCCCGTGGACACACCCTTGGGCCAATGGCCGCTCTCACGTTTCACAGCACTGGTGCAGTGTATCAGAAAGTGCTTTATTAGCAAAAGGCAAACAAAGCTCTGAATGCGGTCAGATAGACCCGATTGCGGCACCGGCTCTGACGCAGGCACCAGCGCATGCACGAATGTGCATTGCCATGTGCTCCAAGCAGCTGACAGTTGCCGACGACGCAGCTCTTCTGCTGCGCTGCCGCCTGACCCTGACCATAGACACAGTCACGGAAATGCCAATTGGAATATGATTTCTGTTGTGAGGGTGCCGCTGACACAGACGAGGCTGGTGGCCGATGCGGACGAGTGTGCTTTGCCCATGATTAAAGCAGTCATCAGTGTGTGTAGCAGGGCGCGTTTATTGTGCATGTGCCCACATATAAGTATTCCAATTGATGCGAAACGCGTCGCAATCGCTGATTTTGTTGTTGAATGTTGGCCCCGGCTGTGGTCACGTTTTGTGACACACGCGATGAGCACACAAAGTACACACACACACACGCGATGAGCACACAAAGCACACACACTTCGTGTACACTGAGAGCAACACATGGTTATAGATAGACCACAATAAGACAATCAACTGTCTCAAATCTCAATTAATCAAAGAGTCTGTATAAAAAAAATAATAATATTCAAATCAAAAATTAAATTTGTTTTGAAAATGTATATAATTTATAACTAAAACTTTTTCCATTATTTAAAAAAATGTTTCATTAATAAAAACCAATTAAGTGTATTTGATCCTTATTATAGCTTGCATTTATTCACATTCATTTATTAGTTAAATTGAAAACTTTTAATACAGCGCTTTTATAAGTGAACACTTGCACTTTTCCATAGTTTACTATTTAATTTGGGTTACTATAACGAGAAAGTAATGATATCTTCGATACGCCGAAGATTTAATAAGCCTGCCCTTTTGCAGATATGTGAGAAAAGTGCAGCTCAAAAAGGCTGAGTTTGTTGACATATCTTTGCAAAGAGAATATTTTTGTATAGACAATGAATAAAAAAGTATTTCATATAATACCTTAATTATCGACCTTATGTTCCTATGATAGCTTTTAAGCGGAGAGACTGGCTTAGAAACAGACAGACGGACATGGCTATATCGACTCGGCTGTTGATTCTGATCAAGAATATATATACTTTATTGGGTCGGAGATGTCTCCTTCTGTGCGTTACACATTTCGAGACAAAATTATAATACCCTTTGAAAGGGTATAAACAGAAATAAGTTTTAAGTGCTGCGACTTTTAAAAAGATCTTGGATATTATGTACAAAATACTGTGACTTAAGAGTTAAATTAGAAATTACTTATAAAATATTGAATTGCATACTTTCGGGTCCTGAGGGTTCCTGTCTTGGAAAATCAATTTTTTCGCTGCGATTGTGCCACTGTGCAATCTGGCGCAGCCATATTGAATGTTTTCTTTGCTTACCTTAAGTTACTTGAACTTTGGCTTTAACCTAACGTTTGTTTCTGTTTTCTTTTGCAGTTGCCAATGGTTCGATGAACTCAACATTTCGTTGGAAACGCCGCCGTGGTGTCAGAATGACACCCAGACTGCCACAAAACGCAAAACGTGTAGCATCGGGCTCGGCTTCAGCTGCAAATGGTCATGTCGCCGAGATAATATCGGAGCAGACGAAGTATTTGAAGCGCATGGAGTTCAATTACAATAAGATGAGATCGCAGTTAGTGTGTACACATTCCAGCAGCAGCAGCACCAACAAACATTTCAACATCAAAACAGTATTACAACCTACAACGGCCAATAACAATTGCAGCAACAGCAACTGTAGACGCTGTGGAAACAACAAGACAGCAACAGCCAAATTTTGCGATCATAGCTCTGGCATGGATGAGGATGATGATGATGATGAGGAGAAAGATCGGGGATATGTGTTCGTTCGCGAGCCAATCAGGCAGCCGCAGATGCAGCAGGAACAACAAATTCCAAAATATCGCCCACATAATGATGGACTGCTCTCCATTGCCCTTAAAACTATCAATCTGGTGCAACGCAACGAGATTCTGCAGAAGCGCTTGACCCAGCTGCAGTTGGAGACGTCCGAGTTCATTGCCTCGGTACTAGCCAATCCCGAGAATCGGCATTTTCGTGAGAGAATCACGGCCAACACAAAGGCGGCCAATATAGAGAGCAACGTTTTGCGACACTGAGCGATAAAGCTGCATACTTTTCGGCGGGATTCAGATAACGCCGCATTCCGATGTATCACAGCCATCAATTCGACCCATAGATTTTTTCAATGCATCGTAGGATCTGTAGACTGAATTCGCCAAAAATATCTTTGTAATGTCCATTTATTTTATTTACAATTTGCAAGTGGAAACAATACAAAATAAATTTAAATTAATTTCGTTTACAATTAGATTTTTGAGATTGAAATTGATGGCTGTGACATGCGGAATTGAGTTAAGAGCAACTCGTACTGATTACATTTATAAATTAACAAAATGTTATATGATTGTACACAATCAAGCAACAAAGGAAATATTATTACTAACAACAAAAATAATCAAAAGTCAAGAATGAAACATTTTTTTCTAGCCATTAAGTATGTTTGTTGTCAACATTTTGTACATCAAACAATTTATTTCTGACGACATATTTAAAAAAAAGGCTCTTAGTAATACCTACTATACTATACTTCAGCGCTTGCAAAGCAATTGGTTTATTAACTAAGCCAAGAAAACAACTATACGTAATTAAAAGATCTTCAGAACCCATTATCAACAAAATATATATCATACATATAAAAAAAAAAGAAAATAACTTGAAGCGTAATTTATTCGAATTGTGTAACCAAAATTAATACCCATTTATTTGTAAGAGTATAATATTTAATTTAAATTTTTGACTTACCTTAATATTAAACTTATAATTAAATTGCAAATAGACAACAAACTTGAATCATGCTACAAATTTCAAATAAAATCAATTTCATTGAACTGAAAAATATAATATACTACTTGCTGCTTTATTTATGGCCAATTTCAATAGAAACAATAATACGAGCTACAAACGTTTTTAAAAAACCATGGTAAGACACACACTCAGCGGTCGTGTCAATAACACCAATCAAACCGTTCAAAGACCGTCTCAGAAACTCCTCGACGTTGTGGCTCAACTCAATCATGAAAATTATGATTATTGAGGTGTTCCCAAAAACGTTAGACACCACTACGTGGAACAAAACAAAGTAGTCAGAGAACTCTCTGTGTTTTGGAGAAAAATATTAAAGAAGCAGTAGAGATAATATTTTAAAATGACTAAGCGGTCAACTATCGATTATTTAAAATGGTAGCTATCGATAGTCTTAAAGCATTATTAAGCACCTGCGTTCTGCAGAGTCTATAACTAAAAAAAATTATTATTTTAAATTGGTTGCAGAATAGTAGGAATGTTGGAGCAGCGATAATACTTCCCGAGAGTCACCAATAAATATACCTTACATTGCGTGGTGCAGACTATATAACTATAAAAGAAACATTCCAAAAAGTAGGAACGAAGAACTAGCAATAAAACGTTAAGGAATTAAGAACTTAATTATTATCAACCATCGAAAATGTAGAAGGGTAATTATTGATCTTTTTGCATTAGTATATTTAGCTAAAGTAATGTGACCTAAATGGGTAATTACTGTTTGAAATGTATAGACGTAATTCTAAGATCTGGCGTATCTTATTTCTGGAATGTCCCTAATAAATGTCACTTAAGTTGCGTGCGACAGACTACGCCAATCTGTCATCTTTTTTGGCATTCAATACGAAATTACACTTCAATTGTTTCAAGTTCATTCAATTAAGCCGCTTCCCTGCCAGCCTCTCGAGTGCAACTCGGTGGTTTTCGGCTTTTCGATTATGATTTTTGCCTCTTCGCTGCACAATGTTTCAAATCTGCTCTCTTGTTATACCCATAGAAAATGGTTAAGTGGGGTATAATGATTTTATTCATATGTTTGTAAATGCAGAAAGAAACGATTATGAGCTTAGAAAGTGTATGCATATAAAGATTGGAAACTTGATATATATATATTTCTTTCGATATCTCCTCGCATTTTCATAAAGTCGATAAAAATCGATTTTTAGACATTAGTTTACGGCACAACTAGAAAATGATAAAAGCTGTATAGACTAAACAATGTAAAATATTTTACTTTTGGATAGCTTTTCATAACTTTCCCAAAATGAAAGAAAATCTCATACACATATATAAATATACAGCCGAAGAATGTTTCTAAGTGTGGCTTTGCTCTGTGTCCAGCGTAACCCCTAGTCGGGCATACCTGACAACACAAATATTAGTTGCTGTTTATCTTTCTAAACTCAGTTGCGCGTTGCAGTCAGCATTTGTCAGATTTGAGATCATAAACACATATACTTATACCCCTGGTTATCATTTTTACAAGACGCTTTGGCATTTTTCTTTGTTTTTATTTTTTTCTCTGGTAGCTATTGCAGCATTTATTATTATTAGCTTCAAAGATTTTTTTTTTGGTTTTTTAGTTTTATTGCCATTGGGTGTTGGGCATCGCTGTGGTCTTTTTTATATGCGCAGCGCACGTCTTCAATTTTTAACGGCGTTTCGCGTTTGACACTTGATTTACGAACATCGCACAAATTACAGGGATCGGACCAAAGCCGGGCCTCACAGCACTTGACACTGAGAGGTGGGAGGGGGGCTTTATTGTCCGACAACGATGAAAATTGTTGCCACGACTTTGAATTGAGGTTGAACTTGATATGCGCTCGTGTTTAAGTTGGTCATTTATGTTGTTTGCTTGAGTTTGTAATTTTATAGAATTAAGTTAGTGTGTGAATGATGCTTGGACTCCCAGTGGACAGTATCAAATTGATAAAATCAACACAGTAGCAAATCTTTTGAGTCGACCTTGACAAGGTTGTTCGCAAATTAGGCAACTCTTTTTTTTTTTGTTTTTTCTGGTTACCCGATTAGAGTACAGCAAATAATTGTTGCTTATTTTTAAATCAGTGGCTCATTTAAAATAGTTGAAGTCAACAAATATAAATAACATTTATGAGCACTAAATCAAAAGCACTCATGAACAATTCAGTTTCAATGGCAAATGCGCGGTTGGTAAAATTAATTATATGAGCATTGAACAGCTAGAGAACTTAATATTTCTAACATAAACTCAATATGCATTGCTTTGGCACAATTTATTTAACAAATTAACATGTGCAAATGCATACAAAGATTTTCAAATGAAAAGAACTCTGGCAGTAGGGGTACGTCATGGTTGTTCTATTAATTCTAAAAACGAGTTTTTGTATTTGTTTATCAAATATTTTGCAAAGTTCTTGCTGACATTGTTTAAGATGTCATATCGCTCCATTATGAGGCATTTCATACCTTAATATACATTAATATAGACTCTTGCTACTTTATTTGCGGTTTGATTTAAAGGACAAATTATGGCGAGCCGCATGCATGTGCTTTACAAACTAACAAAATCAGAATTAAAGAGACAAAACTTTTTTTTGTATATTCTTATTATTTTTATTTAGACTTAATTATAAAATATGTTCCTTTTAACTAAAAAATATATCAAAAAAACTGAAAGAAAATTGCCAACATTTAAATATGATATTTTTATAAAATATATTTGAAGAACAATCCTTGAATTCGACTTTGAAATGATCTCCGTTTGGGATAAACTTGTCAGAATTTAAAAGAGATCTTTAGAGTTAATATATAGTATATATTCGAAAACCAGAAAGAGCCTTTACTATTGAACTTTAAATTTAACTATATACATTTTATAGTTAAGTACATATTAACAAAGCATTTTGGGAATCCCTGTTAATGGTCCCTGTTAATCGTACATATATAAAGGTGTTTTTCTAAACCATTCATTTTATATTTTGACTTATTTTCAAGTGAAATAACAAAAATGCTAAATCATACTGCGCTTTGGGCAAATTTTCAATAACACTATCACTTTCTGACACCTAATCAGAGAGCAGACACATTCGTTTTTTATTGTTTAGCATTTAAATTTTAATTAGCAGAGTTTTGTTTCAGCTTTTGATCAATGAACAATTAAGACTATCGAATGATTTGAGCCCAGCACTTGAATATGTTTCTGTGTGTGTGCACTTGATTAAAACCAAACACCAAATAATTCGACAGTTGCCAAGTCATGCTAAATGAATATGCATAAAATCTGTGCAAATATCAACTATGGACGTTTAAACAAAGGCGCGCGAGCCGAGCAAAATGCATTTCAAGTTATTTGTTTGGATTTTAGATATAAAACGTATGGAGAAAAAAATAGATGTGAATAAAAATAAAATAAAAATGTTGCTGCGCCGGTACTGAAGGTCGAATGCGATTCACAAATGCGCCAAAAAACTGATGATGAAAGTAGCAACAATATTAGAAATCGAACGAACTGAAACTATTGTTGTTGTTGTTGTTGTTGTGTTGTTGCTTGTTTGCCCATTAATGAATAGCAGCTTAATGTTGTACGTATGCAAATTTATGTGGCTGAACTTAAGGTTTGTAATCGTCGTAACATGAAGTCATCAGCATTAAAGCGCATAGATACAAGATATAAGATACAAGATACACAGCTACTCAGACAGTTACAACGCAGCGTTGCCTGACATTGAACTTGAGCCGTCAACAACAGAGTCTGCTTTGCTCTAACGTGGTTAAATAGCGGAAGCACATTCATCACAGCTACAGATCATAGTTTTATTTGTTCGCAAGCAATTGCTAATGGGATGGTACCAAATTTTTGATTAACGCATGCTTGCCTGCGATGGAATTGCGAGCATAAATTGGTGCTAATTCAGTTTCAGTCAAAATATGCAAAACTTTTGGCTATGACTAACACAACGTCCACAACGTGAATCGCCGAAACTGGCGAAACGGGGCAAAGGCAAGCTATAAGCCGAAATGTAAATAAGCCCGCATGAAATTTCTGCAAGTTCACGCGATGAACTTGAAAAAGACGCGCCAGAGGCGACAGCAAAAACTGTATCTCTGTATCACCCGGCTGCTGTTCGACACTGGACTGGATTGCGTGTTCGCCGAAACGTAGCGCGCCAAACTGACCGACTTAACCGGCAACTACCCGTCTTGATTCGTGCCGCATAGGCTTCATCGTTGCATGCGCCGGCAGCGGCGACTCATTTAACCAGCGGACAGCAACGCGCGCGCATGCGCAGTAGCTGTCGAGATCGAAACAATCGATCAAATATACATATCAATATACATATACATATAAATCTGGTGTATCAGCTAAGGAGAGCAACACGCCCATTGCGTAAGTGCATTCTAAATGCAAACAGCATCGAAAACGTGTTTAGAATTTCACAACTTATAAAGCGACTTAATTGTCCTACATATATTTTTGGGCGGGCTGTTGAGCCGGATCTATGTGTGTGTGTGAGTGTTTCTTGGCGCGTGTTGGCTTCAACTGATATCAATGCATATGTGTTGAACATGTATGGTACTATATCTCAAGCAATTTGATTGCCACAGAATTGTGCATGTGATGAGGCAATTTTGTCCACCAAAAACAGACAAGTTGTAATTTTTGGCAGTGTTACAATGTGAATCGCGTATAAACAATGGAGAAAACAAAACATTTTTTTTTAATTTAAAAGTTTTTGTTTTTTTTTTTATTTAAAAATAGTTTAATAAAAGTGAATTAATTTTCTTCCTATTTATTATTTATGTGTATGTAAAGCTAACTACACAACTGTTTGAAAATATTTGGGTTATGTGTGATCTACTTTAAGTGATACGTGAATCCTTCCTGGAATATTTGGAAGTTTTATAATTAAAATCAATATAGAATGGTGGTTAAAGACTTCTTTGAATTTGAGTGCGTGTGTATTGTACTCTTGTAAAACACATTTTTCACAATTTTTTACAAAGTTTAATGCAGTTTATTCAAGCGTTACTTAATTTTTTATTAATTATTAATTGCTTGTCCGTAAACTTTATTCTCCACATCCAATTCGCCTAAAGATATAATTATTTCATGTTCATAGTGGATTAGCTACAAGTACAAACATTCGGGATTTGAATTACCTGAATGTACTCAAGCTTTTAATTGGCTTAAAGTTAGCTAGCAAATTTTCAAATAATAATAAAAAACTATCTGATAAAACTTCTTAAAGTTTTTCAACGCATATCTAAATCTTTATCATAAGCCAGTAAGCCTTTCGTTGCGCCAAGAGTCGTAAATTTTTAAACTGGGCTAATTGGACACAGTTAATAGGCTGAAAGTCTGGGGCATTGAAGACGAGTGGCAGGTAGCATGAGGCAAACGGTTGCAGTTATCGCTGATTGAAAAATGTGTTATAAATAATGATAATTTTAAACTCATTTTTTGTCTGACATGGTGCCACAGCTATAACCAGTAAATTTAGCGTAACCAGTTTTTTTTTTTGGCCACAAAATTCACTTGTTATTAATTGCAGAGTGTTGAATGATGGGAAGAACTTTAACGAGCGCAGTGCCCTTCGCTCGATCACAAACCTTTGAAATCGTTGTGGTAGGGCAGTTCTGTGTGGAAGCTCTCGAAAGTTGACCGATAATAAATGGGCTTTTCTTAAGTTTGAGTGACAAAAGAAGTTGTGTTGTGCCCAGACAAAGTGTGTCTGTGACGAATGCATATTGAAGGCAACGCACGTAGAACCGATTGTGCCGAGACAAAGCCAAATGTATCTGTATCTCATTATTGTGTACATATATATTATATATCTATCTGTAAATGCGATGCCAGTTGGCTTGTCGTATCTCAATTTTTGGCGGGCAGTCTATTGGGGTTAATTGAAATACCTATCTTTTTCTTCTCCTATTTGTGCAATTTTTGCATTTAATAGACGTAAATGTTTAAAAAAAAACCCACTAAAAATTGGGCATTTAATTTGCATATAAAGTAATTTTTGTGGAATCACAGCGCGCCCACGACTTTTACTAGTGCTTTTTTTTGAAAGGCACAAAAACTATAGCAACACGTTTGTGACATTTAAAAGAATAAAAAATTTCAAAAACAAAAAAAAAAAAAAAAAACTTCAAAACAATTTTATCATATAATGTGCTATAAGATATTGTGTATAATATTGAGAAGATTTAAGAAATTGAGAAGAGTTTGATATCTTGCAAAATAAATATATTTTTAATAGTTCAAATTATATTAACTCTGATCATTCCTATGGCAGTTATCTGATGTAGTGTACCGCTTTGAACGATTTATACATATATTAACATGTACTTAAAATCTGAACAAGAATATTTAAATGCCTTCATGGATCTGAGTCGTCTGCTGCTATGCCTAACAGTTTACTCGCAATATTGTAATACCCCACACTGGGGTATAAGAAACAAAAAGAGAAAAGTTTGAATATTTTGAAAACCAAATATATTTTTAAGTCTCTTTGTTATGGAAATTAGTTGTGAATTTTTTTCCTAAAAATTTTTTAATATTCAACAACTGACAAATATCCATTTATGAGTGTATTTATAAGTCGTAGCGCTTGAAACTTCTTTATTTATTGATTTTATACATTTTGCTTGTGTTTCGGCCTTTAATGAACATCCGCGTGCGGTTTATGGGTCAACGTCAACGGGCAAATATTTTTGCTTGGATTGCGCTCGAATTATTTTGTGAATTTCGCTTTGGCCACTTCTTCAGTTTCTCTGTTTTGATCGCCAACCGGTTCGGAAAGCCATATGCGTGTTATTGTTTTGCTTTTATCTTTCTTTTATTTCGTTTTTGCACATCCATTATTTCTGTTGCATCGATGTAATCGGAAACTTGTTGAACTTGAGCTAAAAACAAAAAAAAAAAAAACATGCTATGGCCAGATATCAGAGAGCTTTGATAGCCCCAGGGGCGATCTGGAGAGCTTGGTCAGAACCAACTCCAAAGTGAATAAGTCTGTTGGGAGTGAAAGGCTAGGATGCTAGTTTTACACACGACCGCACGAACTTCGGAGTTTTTAGGGGTGTAATCTGGGGTGTGTAAATACCAAAGGGTAGGCGCTTGCTAGAGGCTTTGAGGTTATCTAGGGGAGGTATCCATGGAGTGAAATATTCTTAATCAATGTACAACAAATCGAAATATACTTTCCGACAACATCGCATTCATAAACATAAGGGCAGACATTCATGAATAAAACGACAAAGTTTGAAAATGAATATATTTTTTGGAGGTGTATGTTTGGAAATGCTTCCTGCTGACTGTTACATACATTTCCACAAACCCATTTAGCTCTTTTTAGACTCTTTCAATGGATTCAGGGTCGCAAAATCGAAAGTCGTTTGCAATTTACAAGCACTTGCTAATATATATCTAGAACGTTTTGCTAATTAGCATATCTTACAGATACATATTTGTAGCTGTTGAAGATGCGACTGGCCTACTTCCTGATACTCTGCCTGTGCTTGGACTGCAGCCGCTGCCAGCTGCTGGTCGATCTAGTTCGTGACTTTGAGACGTCGCTTCTGAACACACGCATACCGGACACCACGGCCTTTTTGCCGGAATATGATTTCATCATAGTAGGCGCGGGCTCGGCGGGGTGTGTGCTGGCCAATCGGCTGAGCGAGATTAGCACGGCGCGTGTGCTGCTGCTGGAGGCAGGTGATCAGGAGACCTTCATCAGCGATGTGCCTTTGACGGCAGCACTTACCCAAACAACGCGCTACAACTGGGGCTACAAGGCAGAGGCCACGCCCAACGCCTGCCAGGGTTTGCGAAACGGCGTATGCAATTGGCCCAAGGGCCGCGGCATCGGCGGCACCAGCCTGATCAACTTTATGCTATATACGCGCGGTCATCGACGGGACTACGATGGCTGGGCTGCTGCAAACAACACGGGCTGGTCGTATGAGGAGGTGCTGCCGTATTTCAAGAAATCCGAACGCATTGGCATACCCGATCTGTACAAGTCGCCGTATCATGGACGCAACGGGCCGCTGGATGTGCAGTACACAGACTACAAGTCGCGGCAGCTGAAGGCGTTTCTCAAATCGGGCCGCGAATTGGGCTACGATATAACCGATACCAATGGCGAGCAGCTGCTAGGCTTTTCCCGAGCTCAGGCCACCATACGGCACGGCCGACGCTGCAGCACCAGCAAGGCCTTCATACAGCCCGTTCTGCAGCGCCGCAATCTGCACATTTCCATGAAGAGCTGGGTCACCAAGCTGCTTATTGATCCCAGCACAAAGATGGCTGTGGGCGTGGAGTTTACCAAGCAACGTCAGCGGTATGTGGTGCGCGCCAGCAAGGAGGTCATCCTGTCCGCTGGCGCCATAGCCAGTCCGCAGCTCCTGATGCTGTCCGGCGTGGGTCCGCGCGCACATCTCGAAGAGCACAACATACCGGTGCTGCGGGATCTGCCCGTCGGCTACAATCTGCAGGACCACATTACACTCAATGGCTTGGTATTTATGGTTAATGATTCCACGGTCAACGATGCCCGTCTTCTTAATCCCACGGATATCTTTCGCTACATCTTTGCGGGCCAGGGACCATATACCATTCCCGGCGGTGCTGAGGCATTTGCCTTTGTGCGCACGCCCAGCTCCAGTTTCGGTAACGTTTTTGCGCTTTTGCTGTGTTCTTTGACATTTTTATTTATTATCTTTTATCCTGCAGCTAAGGACTATGCAGATATGGAGCTTGTCCTAGGCGCTGGCTCCCTGAGCGGTGATCGCTTTGGCACTCTACGCGATTTGCTGGGCATTACGGATGAGTTCTATGAGAAAATGTTTGGCGACTTGCAGCACAAGGAAACGTTCGGTCTGGTGCCGGTGCTGCTGCGACCCAAGAGTAGTGGACGTATCTCACTGCGCAGTCGCAATCCTTTCCACTGGCCACGCATGGAGCCCAACTTTATGCAACATCCGGACGATGTGCGCGCTATGATCGAGGGCATTGAAATGGTAATTACCTTTAAGTATTCTAGGGAATTCGCCTAACTCTTGTTACCACGCAGATTCTGCAGCTGGCACGCACAAAGTCCATGCAGAGGATGGGCACACGTTTCCATGCGCGTCCCTTTCCAGGCTGTGAGCACTTGATCTTTGCAAGCCACGACTATTGGCGCTGTTGTTTGCGTCTCTACGGTTCCAGCTTGCAACATCAGTCGGGCACCTGCAAGATGGGGCCCTCCACGGATGCTACGGCTGTGGTAGATCCGGAGCTTAGAGTTCATGGCATTCGTCATTTGCGTGTGGCAGATGCATCTATTATGCCCCATGTGCCGGCTGGTCATACGAATGCAATTGTCATTATGATTGCCGAGAAAGCGGCGGATATGATCAAGAATGCGTGGCGCATGCGAATCACGCCACTTAATGGTTAGGCATTCATTTCTATTTATTTTATATTTATTGTTTAGCTTATGTACAAGTCATTAGATTAGGAGGTGCAAAGTTCATGTGTGTGATAGGTTGTTGTTAATATTTTCCAACACTGTGCTCAGTCAGCCAACTGATGTGGCCAAATGTTATCAAAATTAGGCTTGCCCAAAAAGTATTTTACCCTAAAACTTAACCAATTTTGATTTGCGAAATTATTTTTGGAATAGGTAGCAGGTTAATTTTCTTAAATATTGTTATTCCACAGAACCAGTCGGAATATAATTGAATTTTCTAAATTCGAATACAAAGCCTTGCCCCAAGTATTTTATCAAACGTTGTTTAATTATATTTCCATGTGATTTAAAAAATGATTTCCTTTTTATTTTAGCTAAGTATTTTTATAGCTTAGGTACTCGAATAAAACAGTTTTACATTATTACGTTGTTATATTTTTATTAATTTTACTTTATGATTTAAATTTTGTTCTTACCCGCCAAAACGTTAAGGTAGCCCTCGCTTGCTTCACATATATTTGTCTCGCTCTCAATTTAAAAGGCATGCACACAACAAATTGATTTCAGTTCAAATGGGAACTGGTTCTGCTGTTCGTAGCAATTAGCTTTGAGGCGAGTGCACTTGGTAGTTTGTCTGTCTCGCAATAGATGGCGATTTATGATTAGTTACTTCCAATGCCTTTTTATACATCTTATTTAAATGATTTCTTCAATAAACTGAAAAGGAAAAACAATTAATTTATTTTGGAACAAAAAATAATTAAAATTATTTAATATTTTTATTTACTCCAGTGAAGTCTTAAATTTGTTTTGATTTCGTTTACCGCGTGTTTAATGCGTCGACTCCACAAACGTCAAGCACGGCTGACGTCGCGTCGCTGTCGCTGTCGCTGTCTCAGTCGCAGTCGCAGTCGCTGGCAATAATTTAACAGTTAGTCGAGTTCAGTTTTTTGGCGGCTTTCAAGTGCGGTGCAACGTTCCGGAACAACGTGGTGCGTAACGTAACAGAACATCAGACGGCATAAACTACTTGACGTAAATATTGCGTTAATTCTAAGAAGGCGAGAAATATTAAAATCGGAATACAATTAAGGCACGAGTATTATAGCCAAGACAAAACCAGACCAAACTGAATCTTGGAGTAAAGTGAAGGTGAATAATAATGAATAATATATAATATAATAGCATAAGCTCAGCCTACACGTGGCCTGGCGTGAGCAGGTGGGTGTGTGTGTCGGTTGTTGTATGCGTATGCCAAGAAAAAAACTTTATTAAATTTGGCCCCATAGGGCGCTTTAATCAAGTAAAAGTAAAAGTAAAAGCAATTTGGTTGAACTCTGCATTGTAATTGTTTTTGTTTTAGTGAAATTAACTATTTTTATGAACTCACACACCATACATATATGTATATACAGACGACTTTGCGTGCTTTGTTGAGGATTTTATTTGATGCCCTCCCCCCTGCTCGGAGTGCGCACGGCCCAAGGCCTCGTCTGGTGGCGGTCGCGTTTTTAGAGGTTTTTAACCCAGAATTATGTACGTGAGATTGTAACCTACTTTGAAGCGTCTGCCACGTGGCGTATGCGCCATATTTTAATTAAATGTTGAAATAACTACGATGGCAACTGCTGCAGTCGGCCAGAATTTGTAATTATGCTCAACTGAAATAACTCAAGTATGTTTCCTTAATGTAAAATACTCGAGCTCTTTTCGCAACGCCAGCAGAAATACTCGTATCTGAGGCGCAACGAGTGCTTCGTAGCCACCAGAAAACGACGTCAAGTGGCCAAGATTAAAGCGTTGCAGATCAAGTGAGCATTTGTATCCTTCCTTGTTTACTTGACATTTTCGTATTTTCCCATAAATCAATAGGACATCGGCTTTAAGCTATTGCTCTACTGCCTTTTTGTTGTTACAGAGATATGAATAATGACATTACAGAGACACTGTAAAAAGTCTGTTAGCCAAAAAATGTATTCAAATTTAAACAAGATAAATGTATGAAATTTAACTGAGGTTTTTCTACATTTGGGTTCGCAGTGTGGACTTCCAAAATGTAAAGAAAGCAAATGTTTCGCGTGCGAAACATTTGTTAATATTGCGTTAAATCATTCAGTAAAGTATATCTTTTCATTCTAGTAAACATTGTTACATTTAGCGCCCAATGTGGGCCTACAACTATTTGCACTTCATGCAAATGCAAAGGAATTCGTTGATTTATTATTAATTCTTAGTTTAAGTATTAATATTAGTTTATGTAAGGGCCTTGTGTTTTTTGTCAAGCCAATTTAAGTTGCAGGCAATTATTGTACTTATCAAAATGCTAATTACCCAACCGTCGTTTCGTTTAGAAGGTCTGTCTGTTCTGCTGTTATTCTGGCACTCTGCCTACCTGGCCGCCTGTCCGTCTGTCCGGATACATTTGGCATATTTAATTATGTGGCAATTCATCAGCGAGTTTTGTGTGTGTTTTGTCTTTAATTTGCAGATCCCTTAGCTGTAATAATGGCACCCGCATAAAGGCAGCTCACAAACGAAAGCGCACAGTTACGATAATAATAAAACAGTAAAAAACAATATAAATAAAAAGGGAGAAAAACAAAACGACGGCCTGAAAGGCACGAAACATTACCAAGTAAGGCAGTCATAGTCACATAAATGGAATGAAAATGGAAGCAGACACAGTTGTTGCCTTTCGCACACATGTGAGGCAAGGTGTACACACGGCATACTGGCATACACTCACACACACGGACGTAGACGCACAAGCTGGGGCAGCCTGCGGCTGTGGCCCCTCAGAAAAAGGCCAAGGCAACTAAGGCGGTCGCAAGTGTATCCACAAATGTCATGTGTTCGGACTGCAACTAAACATTACGTATACGCCCCACATTATGTTAGCTTCATGCCTCAAATTGCGTATACGTAAAGTTGCTACAAGAATATTACCCACAGTCACGTAGCAAAGCAAATGATGCCTCGCCGTTTTAGTGTGTGTGCGTGACTTGCTGTGTGTGTGTGTGTGGGGCGCTTATCAGCCATCATAATAATTGTTGGGGCAATTCCCTGGCACTAAACGCACGATACACGAATGCAAGAAGCAGCGGGTACGAACATACAAATATCTCTATGTATGTTGGAATGTGTATTTCTAAGTATATACGTTTTTATATATATATATATACATGTGTGTGTGTGTGTGTGCATACATGCATAAACACGCGACCATTTGGTCAGCCAGCCACATTAACAGTGGCCAGTTGGAATGTTGCCCGAGGCGCTCAGTGCGAGGCATAATTACACACGCATTTGGTGGTCATAAAAAGAACATTTGTGCAGATGTATAATGCAGAAACAGAAAAAAATAGGGAGAATACACTAGCTAGGAGTGCTCGACTTGGAGTTATCCTTTAGGCAGCTCTACAGAGCAACATGAATATTAAAGATGCCACTTTCAACAACTTACAAAGAAAATTTATCAAGAATTTGTCTCATATTCAACATTTTTTATAAGCTAACTGATAAACCAATTACGCTTATAGGGTGTGCTACCCTTCCATTGCTTGTAACACAATTTTCGTTTAATCTCTTTTATTTAACATTTTATTACAGGGTATAAAAAAGTATGTGGAATAATGAGAGCTCACCAGTTGTACGTGGTACAAACGAAATTTAATATTTTTGTGTACCTTATAACTTTGTTATTCGACCTGGCATGTTCTACTTCACTTTATGCTTTTGTGCTTTCATCAGGTTTTTTAGTAGTTGAAACAAAAGAAAAAATCATTTCTGGCAAACTATTATTTAAGGAGGTTTATATAGCCGTCTACCTCAAAACTTTGCTCGTTTTTGAGCAACTTGTTCAATTTGATGTACACATTTCCAGCGCTTTACACAGTTAGATACCTTTATGGGATTCATTGAAATTTTACTTCTTATATATGAGAAACAGCCCAGGTCTATTAAGGCTACAAAAATGTACAACTACGAAAGCATATAAAATATTGAAACCTTTAAGGAACTTTAACTGCAGAATTCTCTTTTTTTTTCGTGTCATGCATTTAATAAATAAAACAAGTAATTATCATAAATCATATTTGTGATACTTAAAGGGGTTTCCTATTGTGAAAATTATGACAAACTTCTAGGCCTAGGCCACAAGCCGCAGTTTACATAACACTGAGCACATCATTTTGGGCTCTTCGGCACAGCCTATCGAGGATTGTGCTGGCTGGCTATGGCCACTGGCAATCTACAATGATTTATGATGCTTTAACAAATTTGTTACTCACTTAAATTTTACACATTGCATGGTTATTAAATGAAATTATTTGCATGGCTGTCAGAGACTGCGTGTAGCTAAAGTAGGGCAGAGCTCCATATAATACGACAGCCGGAGGAAACTTGGAACCTCATTTGTTAAATATCGCTATTGCGTTATTTGTGCTTTTACGCACGCAACGGTAGCATTTTATGGCCAAGTAACGCAACAGCAACATCCTTTGACAGTCGGCTGGCCGCCCGGACAGGACTCTCTTCGGCTATTTGGACAGGCAACCAGCCCCCCGGCACTCAAACAGTAGCCGGTAACAGAATAGAAGTGGATCCAACGGCTGAGCTGTCGTCTCGGATATGGCGACGGGTTTAAAGCATACTTAAAGCCCACAACGACCAAGGAATGGGCAAGCAGAGATAACTGCGGCATGTCGAAGCGTAAACATCCTTGCTGACATACTGTAAAATGATGGAATATAGTCAAAATATCTTTAATCAAAGGCTTAAAGTAATATTATGAAATGAAATTTTATTGTTAGAATTCAAGAATCTTAATACATTATTTTGGCGGCATTCGCAGGGCTGCTGTCCCTCGAAGTTCAGGGTTCGAGTCCCAAGTTAGTGTATGGATATGGTAGATCGAGGTTTTAAAGCAATTTAAAAAAGATTAAAGGTTATAACAAAAAGTCGGTAGTTCGATTTAAGGTTCAAAAAAA